AGAAAATGTAATAAAAGGACATGTTTCCTACCGTATGAAGAACGTAATCTAATCAGACTACTTCAGCCATTCAACGATATCTTCCTATATCGAGCAGTAATGATTGTATCCAATCTCTGCTATGCCTCTTAGCTTCCAACTCTACCTTCTTCAATAAGCAGTGATTATCTGTGCCGTGGTGTATGATACTAATCTACTGTTTGTATACAGTCAGTGGTGTGGTGTGGTGTGGTGTGGTGTGTCCACAAAACTCTAGCCAGCATTTTGGTAGCTAGCCCCCTAGCCAAATTTGATCTAGAGGGTCAGTTGACTGTTAAGAATGGTGTAAATTATGGAGGTGTATCTATTAATGTAGATGCCTTAAAAGGGCCTACTACCCCCCAGACTCAAAAAGACGCATGGCAGCTCCACGAGAGAACTTCCTTGCAAATAAGGAGCAGGTAACAAATGTAGATTTAGTACAACACGACTCAGTCCTAAATTCACTCTCATAGTTCACACGGTTGATGGCCTGTTCAATAAAATAACACGAATAAGAAGATCCGAGAAAGTGAAATATGCAAACATGGACTGTAAAAGAACGAAAGGCCTCCAATTAAGGTCAAATTTGAGAGATTAAAATACCATCTGGAGCATAGAAAAATGAATTGATCAGAAAGAAGTGGACCGGAAGAAAAGCAGGTAACATTAGGGATGAGAAGTAATAGCCTTTATTTCATTTATCCGTTTAGGGTCTGCATCTGCATAGCTAAATGTAACAGGATGCCAATTATTCTCTATCTTGGTAGCTGACTGGTTCCACAAGGTATAGGTCAGTGTTCTTTTCTCAAGTTCACTCATCTGACAAGAAAAAATACAAGAAACTAGAAAAGGTAGATAAATTAGACTTCATGGTCTCAGCCACACAAAATCAACCCAAGAAGAATGAGGGGAGAGATTAACTATTGATACATACCGCAAACAATGTCTGCAGGTAATGTTCATCTGGGATACAATTGTGCTGCTTTTGAATCTTTTATCTATCAGGCTACTGTTTTCAAAATGGTGGCATCTCATTATAGGGCAGTGTGAAGTCCATACACTAGAAAATATAATAAGACACCTGGATTATGCAAACAAAGGAAGACTGCTTTCTGTACTAGAAATCATGGCTTGGAACAATTACCACATTCAGCTCTCTTTTCCTAACATCCAGAGGTGGGCGTCGCTGCAACAAGAGAGGAAAATTTAATTATCAGATGAGTTCCACAGTTATGAATTACTTAAATAGATACAAGACCGGAATCCTTTCAAATTTTGATGAGGGGCCCCTTTTTAAGGAAATTAATGTGGAGGCACCATTTGACAATGTTGGCACAACTTTTATATGTTTAGTTTGACTGTTATTTGTTTGATAATTATTCACAAAGCACTACAATCTGGATTAGTTTAATTTCACTACAATAGCATATTAATGAGATATGGTCAATACGAAAAGCAGCCTGTTCCATGATACTTCCTTCAGAAATGAAAATTGACAGATATGAGCATCTAATATTTAGTGGAACCAACGACAGAACGGTTCATTGTGTACCTTGCATAGGGCCTGTTTGGTGCAACTTATGGGAAGGATTTTTTGGCTTCAAAAGCACAAGTTGCATCAAACATTACAGCTTGTGAAAAATGCTGCAACTTCTCAGAAACTGGTCTTTTCCCCATTCCTTTGCAAATCTCATAAGTACCGAATTGGTGCTTCTGCGGAAACTTCTCATTTGGATTTTAAAGAAATCAGCACATTATTCTTATTTTATTCTCGCACTTCTTTTTATTTTCAAAAAGCCCACTATATATATAGGGTTCCATTTATAACTTTCCCATTTCTTTCTTTCTCAAGCAGCCCAAAATCCTGCGTTTCTTCTCCCCGTCTTCTTGCCCATCTTCTTCCTAAGCAAATTGGAAAATCCCTACCGTCTAGTCACTGGCCGTCTTTCTCCCTAACTGCTTCAAAGTAGAAAAGCACAACTCGGCCAACAAAAAGGCCAAAATCCCATTTCTCCTTCTGTGTGTCTCCTTCCTTTTCTCTGATTTTTTTTTTTTTTTGTCCTTTTTTGGTGTTTCTGCTACTAATTTGGTGGTGATGAATGATGATTATTGGTTAGTACTGTGAGTTGGTGAGAGAGTTAACCGAAAATCCCTTCCCATTCCTTGTCTTCTTCCAGATTTGGACCGTGTGACAACCGCCAACGACCACCCAGACCATTGTGAAAATCCTCGCCTTTTCCTTGAAAATCACTAATTGCTGTTACTTATCGTGAGACGACTGCAAAGAGCTTGAGGATCTAGATACATTTCCAAGTAAGCTGCCCTTCCTCCCTTCCCCTTTATTTTCTTCGATTTTTCCCACCCAAAATCCCTAATCTTCCCCCTAATTTTTCCAATCTTGATTGGTTCTGTAGTGGACCCATTATCACCAAGATCTACAAAGCCACTGCCAATAAGGTCCCATTGCTCCCCTTTCTTTTCTTTTTGATTGAAGATTTTTTGAAGATTTTTGATTGATTATTACTGTTTCTTCTTTTACTTCCTCATGTCAAATCTCTGTAGATTGTTGTGTCCTGTACTCTGCCATTGTTTTCGCATTTTTCTTTTGTTTTTCCACATTTTTCTTCTGTTTTTAACTTGTTTCTATTTTTGGATAATTAGCTTCATGGGTTTGTGGCAAAGAATTGGTAAATCGTGATGCTTGTGTGCTCTGCCTCTTGGTCACAATAACTTTTTCTTCTTTATTGAAATAATTTTTGTTGTGAAGAAAGCTGAGGAAAGGTGGAGAAGAGTAGACTAGAATATTGTTTTTTGGTCGTTGCTGAATTAGTCAAATCAATTCTAGTGCTACTAGATTATCTTCTTCTTCTTATTTTCTTTTTTTAAGTAATTTAATTCATATTGATTAGAGGAGAATCTATACTTTATTTCTTACGTTCTCCCTGATTTCGCTTAGAAGAATGCAGTCCCTAGCTGTGGTCGCTTGTTGTGGTGTGTGGCATAAGATGTTTTTTGGTGCCTAATTATGTCAATTGCAGTAGTGCTCTGTTTTCTGATATTTATGTTCTGGAATCCTATTAAGTTGTATTTAAACTTAGTAATTAGCATGAATTTGAAGGTTGTTATTCAGATAATTTTTTCTGTTGTGATTATTAAACACTTTCACCTTCTTAAAAACAGTATTTCTATTATAGATTCTTTCCAACAAGACTTTTATCAAAAGCTCTAACTACACCAAACAGGGCTCATAATTTCTTAAAAACTGAAAGAATGATCTCATCGTTTATAACAACTTCAGCGCGGCTTCTTAGTTCTTACCAAGGAGATCCACCGCAAATGTAAATAAGTTCGAACCTGAGCTTAATTTTTTGTATTGGGTGGTAATAAAGACATATAAAACTCATGAGAAATAGACAAGGGTACATCTCTATCTTCAACTATTTTAAGAAGGAAAGACAGGCAAAGATGGAAATAATCAATTCCCATTACTTATTAAATCCACTTGAAGGATCTAAAGCAGTTCATTAAAAAATCCAGTTCCACCAACACTCAACTATCTCTATATTAGTCCAACTCTTGGTGGCCTAATGGCTACCCCCTTGAATGAGTGTGGTTAACATAATGACTTAGGTTCAAATCTCATGCCCTACAAATTCCCCCAGTTCAAAAAAAAAAAAAAAAACTCTATATTAATTTAATGTTAACTATAGTAGAAAATAGATAACCTAAGATCCTTTTCGCCACTCGTCTTTTGGGATGAAAGGTGACATCTTCGAGCTTTATCTACTATCCTTTACATCAAGAAAGCTACAAAATGAGGTGATTTCTTCAGAAGGAACCAGGAAAGTCTTAAAAAGATAGAACACTATCATTTCATTTATCATGGAACCATTTGTAAAGAATCAATTCTAGGCACCTCAAGAATCAAGAAGGCTACCATCCACCTGTCCACGTAACTCCTTGGAGAAGCCATCAGATACTTGTATATTTAGCTAAAACTGTAAAGAGGAACACAACTGCAATACAGAAAAATAAAA